TCTCTCTCTCTCTCTCTCTCTCTCTCTCTCTCTCTCTCTCTCTCTCCCCCCCCCCTTTCACATCAGTGACCTGGAATTCACAAAGTAGACTAAGCCGGCTAGCTAGAGAGTGCCATGGATCTGACTGTTTCTGTCTCACCAGCACTAGGATTCTAGGATTCTAGGATTACAGGCATGTGCCATCATGTCCAGGTTTTAGCTCATGGATTCTGGGCATCAAACTCAAGTCCTCCAGGGCAAGTACTTTACTCAGTAAGCTACCACAGCTTTTTTTTTTTTTTTTCTTTTTGTCTTTTTGAGGCAGAGTCTCCCTGTAAACCCAGCTGGACCGGAACTCACTATGTAGACCAGGCTGGCCTCAATCTCACAGAGATCTACCTGCCTCTGCCTTCCAAGTGCTGGGATTAAGCCACAGCTTTAAAAATTTGCTTTTTAAAATAATTTTTTGCTGGTGATGGAAGCCAAGGCCTCACCCTGGCTTGGCCTTCATCCTCCCATCTCTGGTTTCTCTCCCACAGTTTGTTGTTTCCAGGGCAGCCTTGGCGTATGAATCATTGCTCTTCCAAATTCCCTGTCCCATGACTCCGGCATCTGCGTCATAAGAGTCTGGCCTCTTCTATCTGAATTTTCTTGCCTTATGCCTTGTGGGTTTTTTTTTCTTTCTTTCTTTCTTTTCTGGAAAGTAGACACAATGTCTCAGACAAGACAAACTGAAGTACATAGGTCTTGAGAGGAACCACTTATCTGAATCTAGCTAAGGGTTGGGCTGGAGCCATAGCAAGGAGAGGCCAGTGTCCTTGTATCACGTCACCTGAGGTTCCTAGGATCTCCTCCTTGGGCAGAGAATGGCTTGTGCATACAGCTATCTCCTGCTGCTGCGCTGGTGTTGGGGGCTCCTGATACACAGCTTTCTGATAATCTGACAGCTGGCAGGCTTGAGCCCAGAAAACAGACTGCTGGTAACTGTTAGTGCCACAGCAGCAGCCACAAAAGAAACAGAAGAACCTGAACTGAATGAAGCAGAGAAGAGAGGGTGATCTGCAGGGACTTCCTGAACTGATACAACATTGTAACAAGTTAGGTATCCAGAGAGACAGCCCCTCAGACCTGACTGTGAACTTCTAGCAACTTTGGGTGGGCTCAAAGTTTTCCCCACCTCCTTCAGGTTTGACTGCTCTTTCCCAATTGGTCCTACTCTCCCCTTAATTTTTGCCCACACTTGGCCAGTCAAGGCCCTTCTGGGCCTAGCTGGCACCATCTGGTGCCCTACTAAATTGGCTTTGGAGCACAGGGAAAATTCAAATTCAAATGAGGAAGAAGAGGTGGCTGTCATCAGGATTGGCTAGAGACAGACTTGAAGGAGATTGAGGCTCCCTGTGTGTGAGGCTCCGGCTAGCCTCCAGGACTGGTAACTATTGCAGGCAGAGGACACTCATTCCTCTGAGAAACCATACTTCAACTGCCAACAGGAATGTGTTCCATAGGTAGTTTCCAGCCTCCAGAAGAGACACCCAGCACGGCAGGGACCTGCTCTTCCAGAAGAGCTTACACTTCTCAGACCTTCTGACTTACCAAGGGACTGCTCTTGCTTAGCACCCCCAGGCCTTAGAGAGCATCAAGCTGCAACAGTTCTCTGCTGTACCAGCTCTCTACTAGCATGCCACAGCTGCGAGAATTCAAAGCCGCTTCATTGGAATTCCGTGTGGCAATCTGTTTTAAGTCATTTTGTCCCATTTAAAGTTGATAATCCATAAATGACACACACTACCACTAGTTTGTACTCTTGATGTTTTCCCACTCCATTCTTGGTTATTAGTTTAGTTTTGTTTTTTGAATCCAGCTGGCCTGGAACTTACTATGTAGGCCAAGTTGGCCTTGAACTTACAGAGATCTACCTACCTCTGCCTCCCAAGTGCTGGGATTAAAGGAATGTGCCACCATGCCTGGCTTCCCCATTCCATTCCTGGTGGAGGGTGGGCTAAGAACTTGTGTGGGAACAGGAGACAGTCCCCACAGACTACCTCATTGGAGCCTAATGATGGAGTAGTAAGGAGCCGGGGAGGGGATGCCTATACCCCTATGCCCCTGGGCTATGACCCTTGCTGTTTCCAAGGTTGACTATCTTCCTATTGGGTCAGCAAGATGAGGGGCTGGGGTTGGGGTGCTGCCTTTCCTCCTCTCCGGTGAGGCTCTGGCAGCCTTTTCTCCTGGAGAAAATCCTGTTTCAGGGACCTGACAGCACCTCTTCCCTCCTCCTACCAGAATCCTGAGGGGTCTTTCTTGGCCCTTCTGTTCAAGACCCTGGTGGAGTTCCTGGAGGTAAACCCAAGTGTGTCCCCAAGACTGTGCCACCCCTAATTTCTCATATTCATCCAGCCCCCAGCAATTCCTCCAAATGACACTTAAGCCCCCTTCCCAGTTTATAGCTCTGCCAAGGGTCAGGTGTGTTTAGTCATGACACTGAATTTGCTGGTCTCTAACTGTGGGTAGCAATTGACTTTGGGACCTCTGTTCCCTCATGGGCCTAAGACACTGATTTTCGGGGCTAGTTTCCAACTCCTGTTCCTCCATTTGTATAATGGGACTTTGACACAAAGTCACTGTGTCCCATGTTGCTTCCTCCAAGGTCAAGCAGTCAACATACCTTGTGGACCTAGAAATGTGACCTGTGGGGATGACAGACATCAAACCTTGAGCATCAAAACACAGATGCTAACACTCACTGAGAGAATCATGAAGTAACCTCTAGAAGGTTCCCAGGGTGATTAGGAGAGTGAGTGTGTGTGTGTGTGTGTGTGTGTGTGTGTGTGTGTATCTCAGCATGACCCCAAGGAGCTGTCCCCTGGCTGGGTCTGGCATCTGGGAAGAGTGCCTGTCTGCTGCTGTCCTCCAGGGACCCCTGTGAGAATGACCTTGGACATCAACAGGTGGTCCCCAGACCATATGGCTGTGAGCATCCTGTCACTCCTGCCTCTGCACACTCATTGAGTGCCCCATGCTGGTTGCCATTGCCCTGTTCTGACTGCCAGCTGGGGACAAGGGGTCATGGCCTTGTCCTTCCCTGCCTGTGCCTTCAGATCCCAGGAGCTCTGACCTTGCTGGGCATTCTGTGTAGCCCCTGTCCTCAAGGCCATGTTTCCCAGTCTCCCATTCAGCCACCCCTGTTCAGGTCAGCCTAGAAGAAGCGATGCTTGGGCCCAGGAGGAGGGAGAAACACAGTACTCCTCCTCTGATACCTGTCCCCCACAATCTGACAGGGGCTGCTTCCTGCCCCCCCCTTGAGAACACAGCTCCAGCGGTGGTCAGAGTTCCTTGTCTGCCTTGTCATCTCCAGCCATCAAGGGGCCCTCGTTTGCCGTGGACCTCCATGTTGCCTCACTGTGGCCACGTGGCTTCTCAGTCTTTTTGTCATCAGTTCTGGGTTAAATAAGTTCTGTTTTAAATACTTTGAGATATTTGGTCTTATATGGAGACCTTGACTCATCACTGCCTCCCTCTTCAGGCCCCAGCCACATTCTTGCTGAATCAAAGTCACCCTAACCTCACCAAGCAACTCTGGCACAGGCCCAGACCGTTTACTCAGGGCAGTCCAAAGAAACAGCAGAGAATCCAAGTGTGAACTAGGGTCCTGAAGACCAGGCAAGGGCGTGTGTGTGTGTGTGACAGTACCGAGGGAAATGGGCATCCCATCGGTAAGCCAGTGCTGAGGTTCTTTTGGGAAAGTGCCATGGGGTTTGGGGTTGTGGGAGTCTGGATCCACAGTGTGTTTATATGCATTTGAGGTGGAAGATGAAGCTGGGACAAGGGCTGGAGGGTGGAGAGTCAGACACCCATTTAGGGGGCACAACCACCGAGGGCTTCCTAAGAGGGAGGTCTACTGGGTCCTGGGCAGAGAGGTCCCACAGTACAGGAGAGGCCAGAAGCCTGGAGCAGGGCCACAGGTAGTCTGTGAGGCTGTCGCTGACTCCTCTTTCCTCCCACCCCCAGGCCCAGGCTTCACTTCTTGAAAGATCCATGGCAACACCACCGGGCCTCTTATACCACACCTCTATTTTAAATAGCTCTGCAAAAGTTCCGGTCTGGCCCAGTGGGAGGTGGGACTATAATCCAGGAATTATACTTTGGTAACCAAGTAACTAAATAGCGCCCAGAGAGAGGAAGCTAAGACCCAGAGGTGGATCCGTGAAATACTGGGTACCCGGGGCTTCCCAGAGGCCAGGCCACTGCTCTTGAATTTGAAAAGGCTCGGGTACGGGAGGAAGGGGCTGCCCGCTGAGCTGGAGCCTGAGGCTGCCCCGCGCGCCTTTCCCCGCATCTCCGCAGGGTGCTCCCTAGCAGAGGTGACTCCGCGCGAGAGAAGTCCCCAAACTCCAGACCCGCGGGGGGGACGAGGGGGAGTCCACTCGCTTCCCAGCGTGCGCCCGGGAGGGAGGCGGGCGTTTGGGGCGCGGCCGGCGGCTCCCCGGGGACTGCACCGGCTCGGCTAGCGGGCCCTCAGCCTCTTCCTCCGCGGCATGGCTGGGCTGCGCACTGCGGCCGGGATCCGGGCCGCGTCGCTGTTGGCGTTGCGCCCGCTCCTGGCCGCCACGCACCCGCAGTGCCTGGACTTCAGGCCGCCCTTCCGGCCTCCGCAGCCGCTGCGCTTCTGCGCGCAGTACTCGGCCTTCGGCTGCTGCACCGCCGAGCAGGACGCGGCGCTGGCCCGGCGCTTCGGGGCCCTGGCGGCCCGCGTGGACGCCGCAGTGTGGGCGACGTGCGCCGGCTACGCGCTGGACCTCCTGTGCCAGGTGAGCGGGCGCGCGGCGGCGGGGGCGCTGGTCCCGGGGTAGCGCGGTTGGCAACCCCGCACGGGCGGGGAGCCAGGGTGGGTCCCGGACTTTGGAGCTCCAGGCTGCTACACGGAGGACTCGACTCCAGCATCCCGGGACAGATCTTGGTTCGTCATTCATTTGCTTTGCAAAGACTTTGGACCTTTTAGGGCCTCAGCTTCTCTCCGAGACTAGGGACGACTATTCTCCCTAGAGTGGGATCTGGCACCAACACCGGAAAGCCCCGCCCTTGTCAGGTGCCAGGGTGAGATGGTCTGTCCTAGTCCCGGAAGGCGGGGCCTGGGAGACGGTGTGGTCAAGGTATAGGGCGTGGTCTTGTCGGGGGTCTGCAGAGGGGCTACTGCTCCCTAGGAGGACCCCTCCTCAGACCCGAGCAGTCTGAGAGCCTGTTTCTCAGGGCCTGGGTAGTGCCTGAGTGCTTAGAGCCCCCCCCCCTTGCAATTTCACTCCTGCCATGGCTCCTCGCCTGCAGAGGCCTCTCTCCAGACTACCTGAGTGACCGCCTAAGCTACCTCTCGTCACCTCAGCTCTGATGATGGAGACCTTGCGTTGGTTCACACGGGGTTGCCGTAGCTGTTTTCCTCCTGAGTGGGGTTGATGCAGAGTAGGTGGGCTTCCCTGCTTGGCTGGATGCAGGAATGGGGGCCAGGCCAGGCATGGAAGTCGAGTCCCGCCCCGCAGTACAGAGTTCCAGGCTCTGCCAGCAGGGGGCAAGCTAGTGGGGAGGGGCAGAAGGGCCGACTTGGATTTGATATTGCCACCTCTCCTCACTGTGAAGTTGAGGTCAACTGTTGTCTTTCAGGTACCTAATCTCTAAATCGGGGGCAGATTTCTAACATCCCTTTCCCATATAAACTAAATGGCACAGATTAGAGGTTCAGCAAGGGTTGGTAGGTGAATTCTAGCACTACCTGGCTAGCCCAGGATGTGAGTGGGGATTAGAGGCCAGTTCAGGGAAGGTGGGCCCTTGCCCAGTGTCACATAGCACAGTGGCTGGGCAGGAGACCTAGACCACACTCAGCACTCCTGTGAGTGGGGCCTCTGGTGGGAAGTGAAAGGTGCTGGGAGGTGAGGGGAGGGTGCAGGAGAGACCATAGTGCTCTGGGGTGGGCTGCCCACCTTTTGGTAGATTCTGCCAAGCCCCAAGTGGTGCATCTCAAGAGAGCCAGAAGAGGTGGCCCATACCCCCCCTCTCTCCCCAGCCTGCAGGTCAATGCCATCAGGCTCTTTGGTCCCCTTACACCAACCAGGGTTCCTGCACCCCACACCCAGTTCACATTTACTTATTGGGCATTTACTATGTCCTAGGCTCAGCAGAGCTAAGGAGGTAGACAGGACTAGGGAGGCAGAAGGAGCTAATCCAGAGGCTACTCCTTGGCAGGAGGCACCTCTTTTTCTTTGAGACCTTTCCCAGGATGACTTGGCCTGAGTAGCCTGTGGTAGGGTGTCTGCTCCTACCTCTAGCTGAGGCATCTCTGGGGGTGATCTCATGTCTGGAATGAGCTTACAAGTGGGCAGGCTGCCGAGGCTATGACATGGTCTCCCTGAGGGGACCTCAGGAAAGTGCTAGCAGGACACCATCTTCACTGCCCCCAAGACTGTGATGTCTGATGGAGGAGCTGACTTCCACAGGGAGGGCCCAGGAGCCTGACCTACAAGTTTCCCTCAATGGCATTCACACCTGCCTTGGGGAGGCAGGAAGCTCTTTCTGGAGGCTTCGTCCACCTCTGGGAGATAGCTGTGTTGGGCAGTTGTGGCACGTGGCATCCTCAGCATGGTTGGTGTGTACCTTTGATGCAGCTAAGTTCCTTGTAGCTGGGAGCCTCTGATGAGAGGGAGGACCTGACAGAGACTTGTGGAGGTGCGTAGCAGACTCACACACTTGGCAGACACATCTCCAGAGCCCGTGAATGAGGGATCAGCTTTATGCTGCTGGGCCCAGAGCTAGTTAACAAGTCATAGGCCCAGCCTCAAAAGCCTCTTCATTCAATGCAGGAGACAGACTTTCAGCCACTTACCAGAGCATACAAGATACCTCCCCAAGGTACCAGGGACAGCAAAAAAGCCTGGGACATCTTAGACAGCCTGGAGGAGTGCCGATTGAGTTACATCCTCAGGGCTCACGTCTGAACATTTACTAAACAAACACACATAGCATTTCAATGTATTACTCCCAACAACTATGAGGTTGGAGTTCCTTTCCCTTTCAAAGATGAGGACTTAAGCAGAGAGGTTAAAGCACTTCATGACCATCACACAGGGAACATAAGCTCTAGCTCCAAAGCCCTCTTCTTAGCTACTTCATAACACTGCCTCCTTCCTTTGAAGCTAGATTGTGTGCTGGATCCTGGGATGCCTGTCCTGGAAGGCCCCATAGTCTATGGGGTGGACAGGCAGGCAAATTGAGATAATTAAGTGCCGGTCATGCAGACCAGCCAGGCTACCTCTGGTGAAGTTGATGGCAGAGTAGGAGAGCTGTTCCAGCAAGCGACAAGATTATCATGTGGAGAAGCTGTGTGAGTCAGGGACAGAGTGCTCTGAGCATCCAAAGGGCAGGAGCTGACCCTGGTAGAAATGGAAGGACTTGTGTGTTGGGCCTTCATCATGAATAGGAGTTTTCCAGATGTGGAAGGGGAGGAGGAGGGAATATACCACAGAAGGAACACTGTGTACAAGACTTGGTCTTTCTAGGGGTGGAGTGGGGGACAAGAAGCCTTTGGGACTTGGGGCCATGAGTCATGAGTGTCAGGAATTGCTCAGTGGAAACCTTGGGGTGGCGTCAGGTAGCAGGGGTCCTGCTCCTGTGGGTTTTCCACTGTCTGTCTCTGGACACTGAGGTCCAGTGACTGACTACCCTCCCTGCCAGAAGCAGTCACTATTTTACTAATTCGAAATTTTACTAGCATTTACTCATTCTGGACTACTCTGGTCTGAGGGCTATGTTTGTACTGCATATAAAAAAGAGAGGCCACAAAAGCCACATGGAAGAGGCTACCAGACTCAGTGGTCACTATGTGATAGATGTCGATGCCCTGTGCTCTTCCTGTGTTCTGGTTGACCCTTTGGTGAGGAAAGGGCTATCAGGTTGGTTTTCAAAAGTCTGTTCTGCCCCTCTTCTGTTTATGGAGCCAAGCCAGTGGCCAGCACAGTCTGTGCCCTGCAGATACTGCTTGAGTGAAGTGTTGCTGGAAAGAACGCCAGGCTGGGTGTCATGAGCCCTGGTCTGGCCACTTCTTTGCAGAACGCCAGGCTGGGTGTCATGAGCCCTGGTCTGGCCACTTCTTTGCATGTGGCTACTGTTAACCTATCTTTCATCTATAAAATTGGAGTCATGGTGACACTGCCCTGCAAAGAGGAAGTGAGGCCTGTGTGCACAGTCCTCTGTGGTCTCCCCACGGCCACTGCTGGCCCACAGCAGGGTCCAGAGGCTCATGGGAGAACCAGTTTTGCCCAGAGATCTGAGGCTTGACCATCTGACCTGTCATCTACAGAGTGCAAAGTGGAGCATGTGAGAGATGACACTTCAGGGGTTGGGGACAGTGACTGACCAGAGACTCTAAGAACACATGGTGGGACTCAGCCCACAGGAACAGAGGGACCAGGGGACAGGCCATAGAATGACCAAAGCTAGATTTTGTAACAGTAGGGAGCTGGCCAGCTGGCCTCTTGCTGACCCTTGAAGTCCCTGCCATAACTCAGCCCGGTCCCCCAGTGAGATGAGGCAGTGTGAGGCTGTCATTGCCTTCTCTGCCTAGGAGCTGCATCTCTGAGGCTTCTGGGGTCCAGCCCTGAGTCAGCTCTGAATGCGGGGAACTGTCATATCAGAGATCAGTAACAATAGCATGGCATAACATGCAGGACTTCACAGAGGGAGGTTCTCGAGGAGCCTGGGCCTGTGGAGGGAGTTGCTGCAGGTGGGGTGGGGAGGTGGTCAGAGAAGATGATAAGTGACTCTTTTTTTCTTTTTTTTTTTTCGGAGCTGAGGACCGAACCTAGGGCCTTGTGCTTGCTAGGCAAGTGCTCTACCACTAAGCTAAATCCTCAACCCCATAAGTGACTATTTTAAAAAATTATTCATGGGGCTGGAGAGATGGCTCAGCGGTTAAGAACACGGGCTGTTCTTGCAGAAGACCCCGGTTTGAATCCCAGCACCCACATGGTGGCTAACAGCTGTCTGTAAGTCCAATTCCAGGGGATCAGATACACTTTTCTGTCCTCTGTAGGTACTGCATGATATGGGTGCACTTACACACATGCAGACATAACATACTCATATACATAAAATAAAAGTAAATGAATTTTATTTTTATTTTACGTGTATGAGTGTTTGACTGCATGTGCTTGTATGCACACCACATGTGTGCCTGGTGCCTGCAGAGGCCAGAAGAGGGTGTCAAAGTCTCTGAAACTGGAGTTGCAGGTGGTTGTTAGCTGCCATGGGGGTGCCGGAAAATGAGTCTGGGTCCTCAGCAAGAGCAGCCAGTACCCTTCCCTTGTGAAGAACTCATGAACACTAAATGGATAATAGAGGTAGGAGCGCTTTGTCATGGGTACACTGAGGTGGCCAGAGGGCACCATTTTCTCTGGCCTACTATGTGCTGGCCTTTATGTGAGGGTCTGGGTTATACAGTGAACAGGACCAGGCTTATGGTATGTTTTGGCCGGGGGTTTGTAAGCAGCATCAGAGTCCAGGAAGGAATGACAGGAGCCTGGATGGGGAGGTCAGGGACGCTCTTAGGAGGTGTCCCTCGAATAGGCCACAAGCAAAGAGTAAATTGTGCAGGTGTGGGGCCGAGGTGTGGTATGGAAAGAGAAAGTACTTAAAGTGTGTTGACACCCCCTGGACACAGGTGCTCAGCACACACACTACCCATGTCCTATTAGAAGTGGTTGGTATGGTGCCATTAAGGAGGAGATGTGGGGCCCAGGCCTGTCCCTAAGTTGAAATTAATAATATACCCTGTATTATGGGGGTTACCACTTGTGGCCCCTCTGGCATCTCTGAGCCTTCCTGTCTCTGCAGGAGTGCTCTCCCTATGCAGCCCACCTGTACGATGCGGAGGATCCAGCCACTCCACTGCGCACGGTTCCTGGCCTCTGTGAGGACTATTGCCTGGACATGTGGCAGACCTGTCGCAGCCTCTTCCGCCACCTTTCCCCTGACCGTGAACTCTGGGCACTGGAGGGCAACCGGGCCAAGCTCTGCCGCTACGTTTCCTTGGATGACACTGACTACTGTTTCCCGTACTTGTTGGTGAATGAGAACCTGAACTCGAACCTGGGCCGTGTAGTGGCTGACGCCAAGGGCTGCCTGCAGCTGTGCCTGGAGGAGGTGGCCAATGGGCTTCGCAACCCGGTGGCCATGGTGCACGCAGGGGATGGCAGCCATCGCTTTTTCGTGGCTGAGCAGGTGGGGCTGGTGTGGGCCTATCTGCCCGACGGCTCCCGCCTGGAGAAGCCGTTCCTGAACGTGAGCCAAGCTGTGCTCACGTCGCCCTGGGAGGGGGATGAGCGTGGCTTTCTGGGCCTTGCCTTCCACCCCCGCTTCCCACACGCTCGCAAGCTCTACGTTTACTACTCTGTGGGTGTCGGCTTTCACGAGTGGATCCGAATCAGCGAGTTCAAGGTCTCCGAGGATGATGAGAACACCGTGGACCACAGCTCAGAGAGGTGCTTTCTGGGAGCTGCCCAGCCAAGGGAGGGCCGAATGGGAGGCCTGCGTGACACACACTGGTGTGGTTCATGAGCCTGTCTGTTGTAAATATTGCGAATATTTAACATCCCGGCTGGGGGCTGAATCACCCGTTCTGGGACCCGGGGAGTATTTTTCCAAAACAGACATCTCGTGGGGTCATGTCCCTACCCCTGCATCTGGCCTTCAGGGCTGGACACTTCCCTACTCTTCTGGTCCAGGCTCTAGAGATGGTTATTTCATCTGAGTCATAAAACTGGCTCAGAGGGGAAATGACCTCTTAGGTCACACTGCTAGGAAGCGACTGAGCTGGAGTCCAGTCCTGCTCTGTCCCCAGAATCGCATCCCAAGACATCGTTCTTACCTTTACCGCCCCCCCTTCTCTGTCTCCTGAGAGCTGGCTCTCTTTCCTGCCCCAGACTTAAAAAAACTTTATTTATTTATTTATTTATTTTTATGTGTTTGAGTATCATGCTTGCAATGTGTGTAAGTGC